GAAAAAGAGACGAAAACCTTCAGAATGTTGGATTGACAGTGACTACCACAAAGGTCTTAATCATGACATAAATCATGAGACTGACACAGGATAGGGCAAGGTTCAAATCTGTTTTTGATAGGGTCGCTATGAGTCCACTTGAATGGCATCTAACAACAGCAAATGTCCTCTGGGCTTATTCATGTTGTAAAGTGTTTAATAAATCCTTCAGGTGTTTTTTAATGTCCCATGTACTTTCTTGTGTGAATATACCATAGTTTCTCTATTTACTTGGAGTTAGGCACTTGATTTGTTTGCATCTCTTTGCCACTGTGAACAATGCTGTAATAATCATGGATGTGCACATAACTGTTTTTGTCATAGCTCTTAATTATTTTGAACAAATTCCTAGCGTTTAGTAGCTGGATCAATCAAATGGTACTTTTATTTCCAACTTTAAGGAAAAGTCAAACTGCTTTCCAAAGTGACTGCACCACTTTACATTTCCACCAGCAATTTATGAGCATTCCAATCTTAGCATATCCTTGTCAGCATTGGTTGTCTTCTGTCCTGTTAAATGGTGCTATTCTTCCTGAGATGAGATGCTATCCCATTGTTGTTTTCATATGTGTCTCTCCAATAGCTAGTGTCAATTGGCCCAAGGGCCTGAGGACTTTTGTTTTCTTAATGTTAAGATGTAGTCCATTCAGAAAGCTGTAGTCCTTGGTTTCAGCAGCGAGCATTTCAAGTCCATCTCACTTTTCAGCAAGCAAGGCTGTGTCATCTGAAAACACAAATTGTTGATAAATCTTCTGCTACTGATGCCACATTCCTCTTCAAAGAATCCAGCTTCCAGAATTATTTGTTCAGCATACAGATTGAATAGGCATGGAGAAAGGATACATTGCTGATGTACACTCTTCATGATTTTAAACCACACAGTGTACCTTTGCTCTGTTTGGTCACTAGGTTTTTGATCGGGGCATAGATTTTTCATGAGCCCAATTAAGTGTTCTGATTTTTTAATTTTTCTCAATGTTAGCCATAGTTTTCTAGGACACCCACAGACAAATGCCTTTTTATAGTCAATAAAGTACAAATAGGCATTCTTCTGGTAGTCTCTGCTTTCAGTCAGGATCCATTTGACATAAGCAATTATATCCCTTGTGTCACAGACTCTTCTAAAATGAAACTTGCAGTTCCCTGTCAATGTAATGTGTTAGTTATTTTGGATTA